TGTGTTATGATTGATTCAAAGAGCAGTCATGCTCAGAAAGGACATTCCATGCTTTAAAAGGGCCCTGAGGAAATGTCACGGGCAGCTTCAACATTTTTTCCCCAAAATCAGCCCCAGGGTATCCTGCTGCGGGGAGATAGCTTGTCTCAGTTAGAGGAGTTGCTGATCCCTAGCATGGTACCTGCACGGGAAGACCGCCCTGCAGCTGGCACCAGCCAGCCCCTGTGTAATGATTGCATCTAAAGGGTTGAGGGTTGAGTAAATCTATGGAGAGAAGATTCATCCCATTCCCTAAAGAATGGGAACACAGTCAGGCTGGGATTCTTAGGCCAGTGGAGGAAGCTGGAATTCTTACGCAGCTGTAAGGAAGCTGACAGAATGGAGTTCTAAATCCTCACATAGGGGAGATTCTCTTGCTGGACTATTTGATCTGATTTTGTTCTGTATGGGTTATTCTGCATGTTTTAGGTACCTTTATTGGAGATGTTAAAAGTGTCACTGTGTGCTTACCATGAAGAATGATAGCTGCAAAGAATAGCATGTCTGACCCTAGAATCTTAATAGAGCTACATCAGGGTGGCAGAAAGCGTAACACATAGAGTTAAAATTAGGTTCCTAGAGTGCAAATCCTAGCTCTGCTCCTTGGCTAGTTCTGTGGACTTAAACCTCCACTCCCTGTAATGTCATCAGTGAGTATTGTATTAAGTGAGATAATGAACACAAAGCATTCAGAACAGTGCTACTGTTGTCACCATTGTTGTTGTGATTGTTGTTTATAACCTTTCAGCATTTGGTTGCTAGGATCAGAAATGCCAAAAGTAGAATAAACCAGGTGTTTTCTTATCATGAAACAAGAAGTCAGGAGGTAGGCAGGGCTGGCATTGTTCAAAAGTTCCAGAATTCAGTCCTAAGAGCTCTGCAATAGTCTTAGTTTTCCCTTGTAGTTGCTTCTTGGTTCCAAAGTGGCTCCTCTGCCTGCAGTACCATGTGCTCATTCCAGGTAGAGAGAACTGAAGGGCAAAAGGCAAAAGGTTTCAACCAGTTGAGAGCCCTTCCTGTAAGCCCTACCCAGGAACATTTGCTGACTAATAACAGAAATTAGTCGCATTCTCCCCCTCACTTGGAACAGAGGCCATGTTCTTGGCTGCCCCAACAGAATTAAAATTATCTTTATAAAGTGAAAGGGAAAGTGAACACTGGCTTATTTCCACTGTTGTTTTGTTGCCATTACTGTTATTATCTTGTGACACCACCGAAAGGTCCCAAAGAGAATCCATAGAAAGAGAACATCTCTGTTCTCAGCTACGCAAATCCATCAACCTTAATCTTGAAAGTAACACCAGGGGACTTATCCCAGTTGCCCATATTTTAATTGATTGGATTCTGTTTTAGCCTTTGATGTTACTATTCTGTGATAGTTTAAGAAGAATACGAGCTTGGCATTATGGTGCATGGCCCTAATCCCAGCACTCAGGAGGCTGAGGCAGGAGGATCACCATGAGTTCAGGCCAGCCTGGACTACATAGTGAGATCCTGTCTCAAATTTAAAAATCAGAAAAGAAACAAAAAAGAAAGAATATTTTTCTGAAGCCTATCCTTGTTGTATTTGCCTCTTTCTGGAAGAAATACTTACATTTCTCTTTTAAACAGGACTAAAGTCACTTATTTCTTAACCTTCTGAGATCCTCCCCACTTTTTTTTTTTTCAGTGCTGAAGCTTGAACTTAGGGCCTTCACACATCCCCAGCCCTTTTTTATTCATTATTCTAAGGCAGGAGCTCATCAAATCACTAAGTTGCTCAAGCTGGCCCCAAACTTGCAATCCTCCTGCCTCAGATTCCCAGGGGCCTGGGAATAACAGGTGTGGATCACCATGCCTGGCCCTCCTCACTTCTTTACTGCCTTAATTGTTCTCTGAATGCTGGTGGGGTCCTCCTTTGCTTCGGGTCAGAGTCCTTTCTGCTCGCTCAAGATGCATTTGTGACTCCTATAGCAGCAAGATTGGCCGGAGGGCAGTGAGGGAAAGTGTCTGAGATCCCTCTTCTTGGTGTGCAGTCATCTTGGAGAAAGAGTGGGTGATGGAAGTCTGAAAAGGACCCGTGATGTGGGCATTTAATTCCCAAACAGTTCTGGTCTGCTGTATTTAGAACTGAGTACCTTGAAGGAGTTTAATAGGTATGAAAGGTCATTTCAAGGGCACAGTGCTTGGCTTTCTCGTGTCACAGAAGGAAGCCTGGCTGGAAACAGAAGCAGGCTGGTTTGGGGGCGTTGTACTCTCAGCTTTGTGAGAGACAAACCAGAAGGCTTGCTGTTGGATAGTGGCAAACAGCCCCAGTTGAGGTTTTGAGCTGGAAACAAAGAGAATCTACAGAGGCCTTAGAAGCCCAAGAGACCTCTTTGAACAATAGGGGCAGGGCACACAGGAGAGGGAGAAGCAAATCTCTCTGTCATCATTGCCTGGTTGACTCTTCCCTCTGTCCTGCAGCCCTCTCCCCAGGAGCTCAGACCCGCATGATATCCTAGCTCACCTTACCCAGGGCTCTGCCATAAACACTGTAATTATATGAGCAGAAGCAGACTGAATTTCACTCAATATATTCAGTCTGGGTTAACTTTCCTGCTAGTAGCATTTGCAAAGAGTGTTTTCTCAGGAAGTATGTTATTACCTTTTATAACAATGTTATTAGAGATTACAAATGTACCTTCAACATTTCCAACCTAGCCTTCAAAAGCTATTATTGGCCCGGGGATTTAGCTCAGTGGTTCTGGCGCCTGCCTCGCAAGCGCAAGGTCCCAAGTTTGATCCCCGGTACCAAAAAAAAAAAAGTTATTATCAGCAGTCTGGTTCTAACCATTCAAACCATTTAAATGTTAGGTGTAGAAATAAACTCTTTAAATATTAGATGTAGGAATAAATTTTTCTTAAATCTTAAATTACCTCAATATTTGCTCTCTCAGTTTCTTTCTAGATTAAAGGTTATCCAAGCTATTTCTTTCATTATCTAATGAACTCTGATTATGTATTCTCTCAACTTTTATCTGATCTAACTCGAGTTTTTTGACTTTCCTCATCTGTCTTTATAAAAAAAGGTAGCTCGTCTTCTAAATAATAGTAGTTACTATTTTCTATTATTTTCATCCTAGAGCTCTTCTAACTGGAATGTATGAAGCATAGTAACAAGAACTCTGCAAGAAACCAACGTCCCCTGGGTCTTTTGAAAGGGGTGCTGTAACCCGTTGGGTTGAGTTTGTAGTCTCCTTTGGGAGGACCTAGTACAGATGGCCTCCCAGACTCTATGGCCCTGTAAGTCCGGGGTTTGGGGAATCTTCAGGACCCCCTCCAGGGCCCCCTGCCTGAGTCACTGTCTGTGTTTACAGAACTCGTCCTATAAGCTGCTTTGATTTCTCTCCCTGTGAATCCTCACCATGACCCTGTGTCCCTTGACCTTTTGCCCACATTCCCCACTTTGTCTCATGAGGTCTTATCCACTCTCTGTGGCACACACTCATGCTGAGAGGCCTCTAAAGAATTGTGGAAAGCAGCAGAAGCAGATGAAATCAGGATTTTTTTGCTTTCCTTCAGATCACCTGTGATGCCATCAGATGGGCTTGGATCCGACCCTAATTTCTGGGGTTCCTGCTTTGACTACCAAAGGCAGAGATTTGTAACCCTAGTTTACATCAGAAGTTTCTGTGGGGCTGTTTGAAAATGAGGGTGTGCAGGACCTCCCAGCACTTAATGAACCAGATTCTCCAGGCCAGGATCCAAGCATCTGTTTTGTTTTGTTTTCTTTCTTTTTTGGGAGGGGTGGGGGATAAAGGTCTGTAGAGTGATTCTGATGTACCAGCAGATTGAAAATCTCTAATCTAAAGCACTGGTCATATCTACATTGTCATTTATTTAAAGCCATTTATTTGGACAGCATAGGTTCCCTGTCAAAAACTTTTCTTCCATTGGAGTCGGCAGACCTGAGTTTCAAATACAAGGTGTCTCATTCCATGAGCTTTGTCCCGATTGCCTGGCCGTTCCCTGCTCAGGTGACCCATACCATGGCCCCACTGTAGCTGACTCTCAGCAGAGCCATTGGGAGCTGCTTGTCTCAGCATGAAGACACCTGGTGCTTTAGGAAAATTTATTATTTGTACAGTGTGGTGCACCTTTGTCACTCTGCCCATAAACTCACTACACATTCACTCCAATGCTTTTATTGTCTTTGACTTTTTTGATTTGGAAACAAGCTCAAAGAGCTTAAATGACTTGCACTAGGACATAGTGGCTAGAATCAAACTCAGCTGTTCCACATCCAAATCCACTACTCTTACTAGCTTACTGATCAGTGCTTTTATCACTTTATCAAAATAATTTCACTTGCAGAAAAATTCTTTTTAAATAATAATCTTTCCACAAACCTTTAACTCATATTCCCCAGATGTAACACTACTGTGTTACTCAATCATCCTTTCTTCTCTCTTTCCTGGTGCTCATATGTATGTAATTATTGCTTATAAATATGGAAAGTATATTATAAACAATTCCCCTTTTCCTCTCAATACTTCAATGTATATTTCCTATAAAAAGTCTCTTCCATCACCACAGAACAACTAGTAAAAATCAAGAAATTAACATCAACGCAGACTACTATCCACGCGCTGACATTCACATTTCACCCACGAATGTCTTTTATAGCAAAAACAGAAAAGGTTCTGGTCCACAACGTGATCAAGGATCACATGTTGTATCTGGTTCCCCTTTCTCTCCACTGTCAGCAGTTTCCTGCCAGCCTCTGTCATTCATGACCTGCTCAGTTGTGTATGCCATCCTCTCGGGACAAACCACCCAGGCAGACGGAGCTGTGGGGAAACTGGCTTCACTGACATACAGAGGATGGGCCAGCAGTGTGGACATTTTGGAACCAGGAATAATACTCATTATGTAGTAATGACCATGTGCTGGGCATATTTATAATGCATTCTGTACAATAGTTCATTTAATCTTCACAGCGCTGTGTAGTAGATTGTTACATCATCGATTTGGCATCTGAGGAAGAGAGAAGTACAGTAACTTGTTCCAGATCATCCAGCCAGGTAATGACAGGGCCCTGAGTCAGATTCCATCCTGACTAAATTGTCTCATAAGGACCCAACTTGGGACATGAAGAGAGTTATGTGTCCTCTGGCAGTTCATAGCTCCAAAATATCTGTCTGTAATCCCAGTACTCTGGGAGGCTGAGGCAGAAGGATGACAAGTTCAAGCCCAGCCTTGGCAACTTAGTGAGACCCTGTCTCAAAATTTAAAGATTTTAAAGACTGATGATTAGTTCAGTGCAAAGGTCCTAGGTTCAGTCCCCAGTACCACAGAAACAAAAAGCTTCCATCTCATCAACTAAAACATGGCAGTAATAATAAATACTCAGTAAAGTTGCAAAGATGCATCCAATAATTGTTAAATCACTATGTTGCAAGAACTCTGTATTTTGGGACAAGATGTAGCTCAGTGGCGCCACACCTGTCTGGCAAGTGCAAGGTCCTGAGTTCAATCTCTGGTACAGGGAAAAAAACCCAACAAAAACAAACAAAAAAAACCCCTATCTTTTAAGAGTGAGTTTTAAAATGTAAACATTGAAAAATTATTTGTAAATTATGAGATGTGCTACCTCTCAGACAATACTTTCCTAAAATCCTTGGAGGTTAGGAAGAAGGAAACAGAAGCAACACACATCTACTCATAATTTTAGATTTTTTGAGGGACTAGACAGGGACCAGCTACAAAGCTACCTTAAAACAGAAGATATCAGATAATAAGGAATCACAAAACACAATTTGGGGATTAATTTTTAATGACTCCTGAGTCATATTTTTTTTAAAAATTATTTTCCATAAAGAGAAAGATCAGCTCCTCTAGTCTAGGTTAAGGAGTAATTATCTTCCAGCTGTGGAGAGCAGTTGTTCTCATTAGCGGGTGGCAGTCAGAAGAATGGAGAGGATGTTTGGGTTTCCAAAATTCTGAAATGTGTAGTCCTTTGAGTGTGAAAATTTTACTTTGTCTTCAAACATTTCAAATATAGCCTCTTAACCTACAGAGAGGATGGGTGTATATGAAATACTCTTACATCTAAGTTATTTCTTCCTTTTTCTTAACATCATGTAAGTAGATTTGTGGGAATACACAGCCTAAGGGCTTTTGGGGCTTTGTTGCTACAATGGTAGGTGAGGTCAGGCTTTTTATCTTCTTTTTATCAAGTCTTGAATGTTTCCATCTGGAGAACTCAGATTTCCTGCCTGGTCCCACTCTTTCTCACAACTGTCCACTTCTGAGAATTTTGGGAGGTAAAAATAACTAAAGTCTCAGAGAAGGAAGACAAAACAGAAGGGAACGCAGGGCCAGGCACAGAGGCACGCCTGTGATCCCAGCTGCTCAGGAGGCTGAGGCATCAGATCACAAGTTCAAGGCCAGCCCGAGCAACTTAGCCTCTCTCAAAATTAAAAATCAAATGGTGCTGAGAGGGATGTAACTCAATGGTAGAGTGCTTGCTTAGCAGGTACAAGCCCGAGTTCAATCCCTAGCACCTAGAAAATAAAGTTTCAGGGAGAATTCAAGGCTCTCTGGTGTATAGCCTGCCGCTTGTGGCATTCCCACTGTTCCTCAGCCCTGCTTACTGAGGCTCACATCTCCCATGGGGGCCTCAACTGTAGCTTCCCCGACCTCTCATGTGTTGCTTCTTGTAAATCCAGCTCTTTCAACCACATCTTCCATTCAGCCAGTAGGATAAACAAACATTCTAAAGGAGCCCTCACAGAGGCCCTTGGCTAGAAGCAGATTTAGTGCAGAATAAAAATGTGGCGCCCTTTGTTCAGAATTCAGTATGGATTTGAAGATAGTGATAGTGGAATAAACCATGCTCTCCTGAACATGTGTGACAGCAGATTGTAGGCCCATGAAGCCAGAACTGGCTTAGCAACCCCTTTGAGTTGAAAGTTGGTTTTCTGTTGTAAACATGGATGCATTTAAAACTCAGCATCCTGTTAGCCATATGGTGGTACATGTCTGTAATCCCAGCACTCTGGAAGGCTGAGGCAGGAGGATTGCAATTGCAAGCCCAGCTTGGGCAACTTAGTGAGACCCAGTCTCAAAATAAAAAATGAAAAAGGGCTGGGGATGTAGCTCAGTGCAAAGGCCCTGGGTTCAGTCCCAAGTACCACAAAAAAAGAAAAAATATATTCTTTATGAAAGATTTTGGGTCCCCGCAGTCATTGCCATTTCTTAGCACTCTATAGTGACTTTATTTGATCACACAGGGTTTCTTCTTTCCAGACTGTGAGCTTCTGAGTCAGGTCTCACTCATCGTTGAATTATTGTGGATGGGATGTGCTTGGTACGTTGGTTAAGAGAATGGCAGAGGGGCAAAGGGAACACTACAGGTGAGAATGGTCTGCAGTGATGGGAACCTTTTAGAGACCGAGTGCCCAAACTGCAAGCCAAACCCCTTACTTACTGCACAGTGCCAACACTGCAATTCAACCTCAGTACTGAGGTTTTGGTTTAGGAAAAAACATCTCTAGGCAAAGGTTTCGGTAGTCACAGCCGTCTTCCGTGTTTTTCTGCAGACTCCTCCAAAACGTCCGTTGGCATGGTCTGTGCTGGTCCCAGAGGCTGTACTGAAGAATCACACCTCCCGAGGCCCACTCCTTGTCCAACTGGGACCTCCATCTCATTCTTGCAGGGCTGTTTGCTAAGTTCATAACCATGAATTCCTGTAACAAGTCACGAGGACTAAGATATTTCATTGACAGGGATGACATTTTTGATCACTGAGGGATTCAAACCAAAAGACAGCCCCAGGGATGACTCTATCGGGCACTGCGGGTGGGTTGCAAGTCCCCGATCTACCTCCTGCCTGACCTATGTAGGGCCAACACTCAAGGGGACATGTGTTGTCCTTGGAAACAGTAGCCCTTCAAAGGCTGGCTGTTAAGTCTCCTGATTTTATGAAACCTGTTTATGAGAAAGGCTTTGTTGTGGGGGATTCTGGAGATACTAGTTTTTTAGAAATATGGGCCTTCTGTTTTGTTTTGAGGGTGTGGAATTCATGAAATAGCTGGATTCTGTAGTCAGCAAGAGTCAATGTCTGCTTAGATCTTTAGTCCCTCAGAACAGAGTGATGCTAAAAGTTTCTGAGAGATTCAGATTAAAGCATAAACCAAGATACCTGCCTTGGCCCAGCCCTGTTTGCTTCACAGTGAATAAGAGGTGGGTGCTAACTGCAGCCATCAGGCAGAAGAATAACAGGCCCATTTTCCATTTCTTGTCATCCTTCTCAGTGTAAAGCCCAGGGGACCATCGATAACATGCCTGGTTAATGCTAGCCCAGTCTTTAAAAAGAGCCACACTTTCTCTATGGAATGTGAAACCAAGATCCCTTTACTTAACTTGATTAAAACTGTTCTTAAATGTTCCTTGGGTAGTTTCGCTCTATGCACAAGGTCCTTCAACCTGGATCACCGAGGTAACTGAACTTGGACCTCTTCCATGGGCCAAGTACACACAGAGAAGGGAGTGTTACCGATCCTTTAAAATGCCAGTCTGAGCTACTATTGAGCTCTGAAAGATTGTGATAAGGGGGCTTTTCATTTCTGATCACTGATAATGGTTTTAATTTAGGGTTGGAGCAGTTCTCTCTCGTAATAAGTGCAGCTAGAGGAGACAGAGAATGCTATTGTTCTAAAACTGATAGGATTCAAGTCAAATTTTGCCCAAATAGGTACATAGTTAAAAACTTTGGCTTCTATTTTGATATACTTTCAAGCAAAGAATTCTGAGTTTTAGTCAGCCATTTGTCCCTTTCATGATTTTTACCATATTTAAGTACAACCTGAAATTTTTTTACATTTTTCTTTAAATCTATTTACTGCTATACCTGAGCGAATTAATTTTTCTGCCATAATGGAAAGCTAGTATTGCTTGCACTTAATTAGAGGTAATAAGTACAAGGAAAACAAAGGTTATCAAGTTTTAGCATGATTCTACTGCTTACCAAGACAAAGGTCCTAAGCTCAAGGCCTGCCTCCCTTTATTTGGGAGACTGACCTGGGGTGAAGACACTTCTACCACCAAATTGCAATTCCCATTCAAGGAATATGATGGCTGGAAAAGAGCATTGTTTTTCTCTCTTCCTTAATTACCTCAGTGCTTTTTATTCCAAGTTGTACTCAGCCCACTTTTGAGAAACACTGCCTTTGGAAAATCCATTCCCTTTGTATTCTGGGTGAGGAAGTAGCTGGAACTGTGTGACACTCCTTTCCTGAATGGGATAAAACTCCCCAAGGGAAGTAAACATTCTCCCTAAACTCAAGAAATGTGTCTAAGTGTGGAATAAACCAATCATACAAAAAGAGACGTGGTGAATGTATACAAGCAAGAATGTCAGAAATATCCAAGTGCTTAACTATCCAAGTATCAGCTGCAGAGGAAAAGTGGGTTAGTCAGCTTGTATACGGACTCTAGTCCTTACCTTAGAAGAGTACTTTGCACAGCAGTGATGGTGGGCAGACAGGTTATGCAAATTATTCCCCCTATCCCACCATGACAGGACCCTAAGGATCATGGGGGAAATGGGTTGGTACAGCTGGAGAGAAGGGGTAGGCAGAAAGCCGATGTGCACACCCATACACGGTAGCTCAGATATAAGGTGCACGGTACAGATGGAAACCTCTGCAAGGTCTCCGGATGGCCTCCAAAATACAAATTAGCCTCCAGTGTGAATACTCTCCCCTTTTCACAGACCTAGTCCCGATTACCTCCTTATCAAAAGCATCGTGTACGTGAGATTCATTTACACCCTGCAAAGTGAGCTAATGTTTCAAGAAACCATCTTCTGTTACAGAAGCGACCCCTATTTCTGTACAGATGTGGGTACCTTTCTGAGAAACCCAGTTTCATGTAAGGAGACTGTTTGGGGGTTTTGTTATTTCAATTATTGAGGATGCCTAGAAACGTTACAGTTAAACAGTTGCTTTGCTACTTTTTAGTCAATGAGTCACAGTTCCTCTGGTATTAATTCACCATCAGTGCTGCTGTAGAGAGCAGTCTTTGAGTAATAATTAAAAAAGTAAATAGGAGAGGCAAATCAGAGTTATAAAAGCGGAGTACTTGGTGGGAACCAGCACTTTCCTGGTATTTTTGAACCCACCGTAGTGTTACAGAACCAGCCCAGGCCGCCCCCCATGCTTTGTTCACCCAGCCAGAACCTCTGGGAACAAACCCCAAGGCAGAAAGGAGCTGCCAGAGCTATGGCTGCACAGGCTTGGGGGAAGGTTTCCATTTTCGGGAATATGATGCCGTGATTTTAATGTGGGCATTTCCCATATCGGTCAAGCAATATGAAATCTTCAGCTCTATTATACCTGGAAAATGTTTTTCAGAAAGCCTTTACTCTCTCTCACAGAAAGGCTAAATTTTCAATTTGGCCAAACAACCAAAAGGTAAAGTTTGAACCTTTTAATTTATTCAACCTCAAACCTTTCAGTTTTGAAACTGAACTTCAACTTTGATATGTTTTTCTCTGTTTTAAAACAGACATATCCAGTGAGGCACTAGCAAGAACTAGCATTTCTTGATTTATAAAATTAGCCCTGCAAAAATATTTCTAAAATCAAACATCAGACTAAAGATTCCTAGAGTCGTGACCTCTTTTGAACTACGTCTTCTCTTTGGGAAGGGATGTGCTTGGTTGCCCGGTGGCCAGTGTGAAGCAGCTCTTGCTCTGTGAGCTAATGAAATCATGTTTCTCTTTCAGGTTCAGTACTTCTTCAAGATCTTGGATAACTAGCAGTATTATTAAGTAAAGAAGTCACAGACTGGGGCATTTAGACAAGAATGAATCACGGACATGAGGAATGTGTTCATTCTTTTATTGTCCATTGTTTTAACCTGACTGATACAAGATCAACAAGAGCACTGTACTCCTGGCAATTATTACATATGTTAGAACATGGATTTGCACTGTAGACAACATTTAACACCAGTCTATGGGGTACTGCATTGCTTTTTATAAAGTTCAAAATAAAGATTTATTTTCAAACAAGTGACTTTGGTTTATTTCATACAATACACTTTTTCTTGCAGAAAAAATAAAATTGTACAACTGCATAAATATAAAATTTTTCCACCATGAAAATGGTTAAAACATTCATAAAGACACAGCACCAGCGTGTGATGCCTCCAGAGAAAGGAAAAAAGGAAAAGAAAATGTACAAAGCAAACTAATTAGCCCTGTCACTAAGCAAAGTGACAGGTGGAGCCAGATCTCAGACACACTGGAGGACCAGGGAAGAGATGTCCAGACAGCCTTCAGTACAAAGCACAACACAATCCATCCCCTTTTTTGTGTTTTTCTGTAGTGTCACTTAAAATTTAAAGGGCAGTTCCCCCATGACAGCCCACCCCCCAAGCCCCAGGAGAAAAAAAAGTAATACCTAACATCACAGGGAAAGACTATGGAGTGTGTTAAAAATGTTCATTGATGGGCCATTATCTTTGAAAGAGCCAAACAAAAGAAACAAAAAGAAAAAAAAAAAGAAAAAAAGTACCATGCCAGTTTTATTCCCATTGAATATTTACACCTTGGACAGCAAACCTTGCTCACATAAAGTAGAAAACAGATATGATAAAACATGGCTTGAAAAATGACCGGAGTATGCACCTATAGTACTGTACACTAAATAAAATACACAAGGCAGCAATACTTAGGGGCCGGAAACACTGCTTACTACAAGTCAGTTATGGAATCATAATTTACAGTAAAAATGGGCACGTCCCAAGGCTCAATTTTTATTTTTTCTTTTGTCATTTACAGTAGAATAAATATTTTGTTGCTATTGCTACACTTTAAATTTACATTCTAACCTATTAAATGCAGAAAGCTAGTGTAAAGCATATAGATTAAGTGTAGGTCCCATACGTATGACAGTTTGTTCAAGACTAGTAGGTTTTTGTTTTTGTAATTTTTTAACTTATTAAATGGCTAGTGGGGAGGATTTGTGCTTGTGATCAGCTCTTAACTTCAATTTTTACATCAAAGCGTCCCTGAAAACGGTCTTTCTCACTGTACCCAATGTTCTCACCGTACGCCTTACACTCAATGCGAACTTCAGTGTCCAAGGTGAGGTTGGTGAACTGTACGGCCAGCAGGGGCTGCAGATACTTGGGCTGCAGGAGTTTGCCATAGTAGGGATAATACTGCAGAGGAAAACCAGCGTATCCGCCCATTCCAAAGTATTCCACAGTTCCAATTTTATCCTTATCTTCGTCTCGCTAAAACCCAGAGGGAAATGCAGTATTAATGGCTCATGTACATACAAGACACAACCCCACGGAGCATCTGCAGGCTACTGCTGGAGGAAACAAAGCCACCTCGACACACCTCGCTCAGACTTGCTCTTCAGCCAGTGCTGGAAGACCCTGGTAGGAATCTGATGCCATAGGAAGAACATATATCCAGACTAGTCCCAGCAGCCTTGAGAAATGGTCACAGAAGGGGGCTATTTTCATTGTGCAAACATGGATACTGAGACAAAGGTCAAATGAACGTTTCTCTAAGCTAACCAGCCGCCTTTGAGGCAAGGCTGACAAGTGAAAGAACTCCCAGCGCTGACCAATCCCAGCACTACCACCTCCACATATCCCTATTCACCTTTCAGGTCTTACATAGTTTCTTTTTTGTTGTCAGCATAAAGTGGCAGTGGGGATTCCCTTTTATTCTGCCTTTTCTCTCTGAAGAACCATCATCAGCTATCTGCTTTTAGAGCTAGGCTGAAAACATCTTGTTACCTTAACCTTTCAGTATTTTTTTTTTAGTACTGGGTAGTGAACTCGGGTCCTTGTGCTTGCACACCAAGTGGCGAAACCACTGAGCTAAATCCCTGGCCCTCTTCCAGTATTTTTTAAAAGAAAGCCATATCAAAAATTTTTATGTGACATCATAAAAAAAAAAGCTGCCCCCAATTTTCTAACAAACCCTGTGGGCTAGGCACAAGCACTTCTGTGGATTAGTTCATCTCTCAGTTCTAGTCCAATGGATTAAAATTCAGATACAGCAAGAATAAAACTGCCTATCAGTTTCTTATAGCAATGGAGACATTGATAGGCAGTTTTATTCTTGCTGTATCTTTCTGTCCTTTTAAGAAGTTTCACCCAGTATGGTTACAACTTAACCTTCTGAGACTCATGCCCAAAAGCAACGTTTCTTGTTTGCTATACTACAATTTTACCCCTATCTTAAAACAATGCATTCATTCCCTCTTTCCCCATCCCACTTTCCCACTCACCCTCAGCAGCCCTGTGTCCTTACCTTGCCAGTGCACTGAACAGGCAGAACGTACGGGTTGTACCTCGCCCCGCTGTAAGTCTCCATAGACTCCAAGGTCTCATTCTTGGGAGGCTACAATAGAACCCACCGTGGTCAGTGAGATGTACATCATTGTTTTAAAAAAAAACATTGATCATGGTAAGTCAACCGAAATAATAAAACACATCAGGATAGCAAAATGAATGACTCCCTTAGCCAGTCTAGGAAAAACCCATTTGCGAGTTAGGTGAAGGAAAGCAAGTGCCCAGGTTTGTGAGCACGACTAAGCTGTGGTGCAGCCCAGTACTCTGTGGAACTTCTCATGGGAACCCATGATGAAGACTTACTCAAGGACAACGAGAAATGAGACCCAACAATAATGCTCATTGTTTGCTAAAATCACAATGATGACACGGGAAAGCGACTGATACTTGGGCTTCCCTTCTGAGCCGGTGATAAATAATGCCATCCTTTTCCATCAAGAATGCCTTCTGCAAGGTGGCTTTCCTTCTCATTTTTCATCTCCGGGCAGGGAGCGGGACTGCTGCCATCTGAGGAGTGTTTCTTTCTAACTCTGTTCAGAAAAGTTGAACATTTAAAGCAGGTAAAAATGGCATTCCTTAAAAGAAAGGATGAGCCCATTAAAGGATCCAAAGAATAGTCTGAAAACTAACTGCTGTCCTGAAATATTCAGAGCTACCCTTCCTCCGCCACTGGCTCAAATCTACCACAGAAGTGGAGAACAGCCACTTGCTCATGTCAACATGACACACGAGCCTTCACAGCAGATGTAACATACCCTCGGTCTGAGTCTGATAAAATGGACAGCTCCTCACTCACATCAGTAAGGAATTCGCATTTTGCTGTACTACTCTATTTTGGAAAAGAAGAAAATGATTATCTAGAGCGGACTCTTTTGGAAGGGAAAATGCTTAGTGATCAAGGAAGACACCAGGATCTGTCCTCAAGATGAGGACATAGGCACATGTGAGATGCTAGGGTACGTGCCAATGCCAAAAGAGCTGGCACTTTGGGTGAGAGTGACAAATGAGAAGTGGCAAGTGATAACCAAGTGGAGACCAAATACAAGAGGAAAAAAAAAAGAAAGGTTGAATTCTTCACTTAACAGAATATCCAGATGTGGGAAGAGGGTCTGTGAGGTACAAACATCACTGAATGACTAAGATGAGGAGTATCGAAGGCAAGGGACTCAAAAGAGCAGAGCTGAGCTTTAGTCTTCCTTCAGCCGTGCCACACCAATTCCTTTTCTTCCAAAATAGCTGACTGACCTTAGTGGAATGTTCCCTAGCAATATGAATATCAGATATAAGGACAGTATAATGGTTCTCACCATTTTTCTTCCATTATAGTCTAGTCTAAGTGGAAAGAAAATTACAGTTGTGTGGAGAAGTACACTAATTTCTGCAGGAGATCCAGCCAGCCAGCTAGTCATCCTTTACTCAGCCATTTTCGCCTCTGGAGGCAATAAAGACACTTTGATGCATCCTTAATAAAAGTTCTCATCTCTACCTTGGTTTTCTTTTGAAAGTATTATTCATGAGTTACAAGCATTGTAGAAACAAATTACTAGCATTTAGTAGAAAACTAGTGAACAGAAGAGCCAGATTTCCAAAAGGAAATGATTTCTGGGTAACTTTGGCTTCACAACTTTAAACCCGAGAGCAATGTGTACACAGTATATGAGATTTCTGACATTTAGTCTTACAAGTAGATCAAGTGTAGAATTTAGCCATTTTTACTTCTGCAGAGTTTTGAATCAGTCCAGAATTGCATGTAGATAGCTTTTATTTTTGTGCATTTAAAAATCCCATCTAGGAAATAACTACAAAGTAAACATGAAAGGAAATAGAAATTATTTTTTCATGAATATTTTGATACACATTTCATCAAGCTAATTGATCCACTAATTTCGTACACTGGTTATAATCAATATTTAATTCAAAGAGAGGGAACCATTCATTTTATTTATAGGCTTTTAAAAGTTCCATCCTTTACAAATTATCAAAGTCAGGGCAACGAAAATTATATTTTTATCATGGACAAAATATTCAACTCCTGAGCCATAAGGTTGAACAGAATTAGAATATTTTCTTTAGAATTTCACAAATAGGCAAATGAAAACTTATCACAGAATGCTTGTATTTTATTTTCTCTCTCTGGAACATCAACACCAGTATATTGCTGGCAGTTAGTATATTAAAAATAAAGTATATTTTCACTACCAAAAAAAAATGAAATGAGTTTGTTCATATCTCAGCGCACTGCAGAAAATCCCTGTCAGAATTAGAAACTACTTGTGACAACAATGCTCACGTGGTGATTGGGGAAAAACCTGCTGGCAGAAGCATGCTTAAAGGAAAAGAACATGATCTGGGGACGATGAAACAGTCACTTTCATAAAAGCAGAGAAAACACCAATACTTTTTTCTTCTCTTAATGAATACATCCTTACAAAATGAGAAAATGAGCAGTTGCAATTTGAATTTCCCAGTCATCTTGGGTAATAAGATCACTTTTAAACTGCAAAAAGGGCCAGGGATTTAGCTCAGTGGTTTCGCTGCCTGCTGCGCAAGTGCAAGGACCCAAGTTCGATCCCCGGTACCAAAAAATAAAATAAAATAAAATAAAAAATAAACTGCAAAAAGCCAGCAGCGTGGTTATCAAAGTTCAGCTTAGATGTTAAATTTCTGTTTTGTGCAATAAAATCATCATTCAGAACAAGCATTTTTTTCTCAGATTACCAGCTAATAGTTGTAATATACCTGCCTGGCTCCAAGAGGCCCAAAACCAGAATATGGCTGGACATCCAGATTTTCTTTTGAACCCAGGACTGCATAAGCTAGGTGAGTCCAATCCAGGAGATTTTTAACTTTAAAAATATCCTTTTCTGTTTTTACTTTCAGAGTTTCCATGCTGTAGAAATGTTACCTGGGTGTTAGCAGAAGTATTAAGAACAGGACCATAAGGCTCATTTTAAAATTTGGCTTTGCCACTCAGAATTTCTGTAACTTTAGAAAATGAGAATAATAAGGGCTGGAGATTTAGCTCAGTGGTTCCACCACAAGGTCCTGAGTTCGATTCCCAGTACAAAAAAAAAAAGAAAATGAGAATAATACCCTAAACTCTAGGAATTTCAGGTTAAATACAAGAAGTTTGGTGTTAGTCTACTGATTGGGCTTCAAAACGGACACTTAATATACTTTAAAGCTTCCTTATATTGTCTTCTCAAGCTTCCTTATATTGTCTTCTCATATCAGTTAAGTACTTCATCCGAAATGTGAATGGCTCCTCTGAACCCTGTCACTGGAAACATGACTTGCCTTTGGTTTGAAGCCCAGAACTCGGTTGAGCTTTATGATGATGCAGGGTTTGCCTTCTTTGTAGCCATAACTTTCATCCTGTATTCCAGAGCAGTTTCCCAGCCAGTCGAGCCTGAACCTGCAGACCTTTTGCTGACCTCATTCATGGTTAAAGTCTCCTCGTTCTTTGTGTTTACTGGGCACAGCTAAAAATACAAACAACATTTTCATATTGTACCGTTACTTCCCTAAGCACCACTGAGAAAGGAAAAGGAAGAGGAACTTTGTTCCTTGTCACAGTTTTCTACTCTGAAACGGGGCTCCATGTACTACACACTAAAGCAAGGATTTCAGCTGTCTCTCATATCTTTACCGAGGATGAAAAAGCTAAAGCTTCACAGTACCTGAACCTAATAATGCACATGTGGTCTCTGGCAATATTCTTCTTCCTCTAAATAACAATTACTCAGCTATTTAGAAGACTGAAGGGAAACTGGACCAACACACTTCACAAGCAGCACTGTTTATACAGGTCAACACTAGCTTAGCTCAGTAACAGGGAAATCATAATTAGAACACAAATTAAAAAGCTCATCAATAGTTTTTGAACTAGAAGTTTTTTGGTTAGAATTTCCTAGTTATGACCCTAATGCATGTTAAACAGTAAAAGAGGGAATAGAACCTGTTTTTTTTTTTCCCACTTCAACTGCAATTCAAAGTTTTTTTTTTCCACTTGCAAATTTGCCTTTGAAAGCTGCAGGTTCTTGTTTTAAGCACTTACTGAGCTGAGAAATTTTATTTTAGCATTTTTAATTCATACATCATATAAAAGCCAGAAAAAGACTAAATGAATATAGAATTCAAAGTTAAAATATAACATTCTGCAGGAAAATGATGCAAGTATTTAAATATCTATTTCTGATAATAGTATTAACATTTATAATTTATTATAATTATTATTTTAACATGTATTTTTTCAAAGTTTACTATTATCCCCTCAAATGGTAAAATGCTTCACAATTTAATCCTCCTGTGAGGTTATTCACTCTTGTTATCATTTGGGCTTTTTAAATTACTGCCAGGTAAGATGAAAATCTTGTTTAAATTCTATGAGAAAAATTAACAGTGAAAACATTTTCTTTTTTTTTTTTTTGGTACCGGGGATCAAACTCGGGACCTTGTGCTTATGAGGCAGGCGGCGGCACCACTGAGCTAAATCCCCGGCCCTGAAAACATTTTCTTTAAATTTCTGTATCTTTCCAAAATGACTTAAAAATGGCAATTCAATATTATGACCAAACTCTAGTCTTCCATATAAAGAACAGCTGGATGTTCTTTATGGAGAACAGATGTATCACCTACATCTCAGATCTTTTTTTTTTTTGGTAGATATAGAACGTATCTGGGAAATTCATTCTCCAGGTAACAGAGGAGGAAATGTATTCATGTCAGTTACTTAATAATGCATACAACCCAGGGCCTCACACATACTAGGTAGGTGTACTACCATGGAGCTAGCCCCAGACCTATCCTTTATCTTTCATAACCCATCTCCTTATCCATAATGCTCAGCTGCATAAGTCAGGGCCAGATAGGACCTATAATGTAAAATATGCCAGACTGTAACTCCTGCTCCAGTAACACCAGTGTGGTGTCGCTAATTACACCAGAGTCATCAGAGGAAGAAAGGGACCCGTGCACTCCATGGCAGGGAGAGATTTTAAGACGAGGATTTGGAAATAGGCAGTTGTACTTCTCCATGAGTGTAAGAAATAAAACTCTACCTGTGGTCTGGGTCTACACAGTGTCTAAGAGTATTTTTAAAGTGTAACACCTTTTTAAAAAAAAAGTATCTTCTTAATATGGCCAGAGTTCAATCTTTCAATTATTTCAGAAATATCTCTCAATTGTTAAATAACAAGTAGAAATGGGAAATAAGAATTAGTGAAAAAGAAAAAGTAGCCACAGACATCAACAATGAGTCTACTTACTGCCACAATCTTCGAAAATCATGTCATCCTTCTGGGCCGTTTCTTTGTACTTCTCCAGGAACCTAACTATGTTCAGCACATAGGACTCATAGCTCTTGGGATCAGCAGGACGAAAGGAAATTTCAGTCTTTTGGATCTGAGGAACCTGCGTTAATCCTAGGCAGGGGAAAAGGTTAGGAAGACATAAGTCATTAGTGGGATGTCAACTACAATTATTTGAAAGCAGACTTTTCCTGTATGAAACATATACTTTGCTTACCCCACCTGACCTAAAGACATGGGCTCAATGCTTACCACCCTAATCAAATCATTCTGTGACATTTAGATTAAACACCTAAGTAGGACAATGCCTGCCTATCACACACGATTCAACTTCTTTCCCTCATGGCAGGCATCACCTCCATTTCATGAATAAAAACATTACTTGCAATGAAAGGCTAAGTACTTGGCCCAAGGTTGCAGAGCAGGTGGTGGAACCCGAATTCTAACTCTAATCCATGTACGCAGTTTCCCAAAGCCTTTTATTTTTCTAGTATCTTCGTGTGCACAGATGCACTGCTAGTTAGCAACACATACAGGTGGCTCTCCCCCGTGACATGTAATCTGTGGGCACAGAAGTCCTCCTGTATAGTCCAGGTCAGTAGATTTATAACCATGCCAAATACACTCAAGACATTTCTTTAGCCCTTATAACCTCAGGTCTATCTTTGAGCCTAAACTGGACAGCTTGAGATACAGTTTGAAATACCACTTCAAAAGTCTGAGCAAGTATGTGTGCTATGAGTTTTCACTTTGTAAACTGAGTCTTTAGTATCTAAATGGACATTTGGACAAAACTACACAGCATTTCCTGGAGCAATTTGGTGGGAGAGTCAATCACAACTGCATTCTTAGACTGCCAGATAAAATACAAGATGACCCACGCAACATCAACATCAGACAAGGAATAATTTCTTAGTAGGGATGTACTGCTACCAAAAACTTCATTGTTTATGTGAAATTCAACCAGGCATCCTGTTATTTTTATTTGCTACATCTGGCAACCTAGTTCAAACCCTACCCAAATCTGCTCACTATGTTGGGCCCAGAAAATGACTGGCTCGTCATAAACTCCTGATTAGTAGTTACAAGGCATTATCTAAAAATATAATGAATGTTTAAATTTTGAAAAATGATTACAGTAAAAGACATAATGCCATTAATTCCCCTCATTTCACACCCCCTTATCCTACCACTCTTGCCACTTTCTGAAGCAGTTCTGGAAGTCCTCTTCCATGAGTGTCTTTAGTTGAGCTGCTGTAGCTGCCTCAATGTCCTGAATCGACTCAAAATGTTTATTTTTCATGGTCATTTTCACTCTAGGGAAGAGCCAGAAATCTCACTGTGCCACCTCTGGTGAATAAGGTGAATGAGGATACATCGTGATGTTTTTGTTTGACAGAAATTGCCCTACACATTTTGAATTGATTCAGGACATAAAGGCAGCCATGAAAAGACCCTCAGGCAAAAGGACTTCCAGAAGTGCTTCAGAAACTGGCATGAATGATGGGATGGCAATATGTCTTTCACTGTCATAAAACATGCTGCAGTTTCCCCCACCCTTTATGTGCCCTGGTCTCCCCACCAGCAGCACTCTTGCCTATGGGCTGCCCACAGGAAGCCTCACAGCCCTGCCAGGCCTCATCATCTCCCAGGATGCCACCAGAGGCTCTCTCCTGCAAGCATGCTGAGATCGCTAAGTGCCTGTGGTTTAGAACCACTGCTCTCAGGACCTCAAATCCAAGAGTGGAAAAAATGTGACACAGATATGACATCAATCACATGATTGGAGGGGAAGAGGTAACCACAGTACAGTGCATAGTCAACAGGACTATTTGGTGGGCTTGCGAACCATACTGAGTGGGAGATGGACTACATGGCTGGTGTTTTTTTCTAGTGATTGAAGACAGCCCTGAGCTTCCAACGTGATTAAATATTAAAGTGGGCTCTATGAGCAAGCTTTTCCAAGGTCACAGTATCCCAGAGAAATGGAAGGGACAGAGATGAAGACAAGGAAGCTGTAAGTGAAAGAGTGGGGCACAGAACCACCCAAGGCAAAGACTTTAGGAGTGATGTCAAGAATCATTTCAAAGAGGGAGCTAGGCCTGGTAGTGCACACCTATAATCCCCGCACTCAGGAGGCTGGGCCAGGTTCAAGGCCAGGCTGGGCTACAGACTGAATTACAGGCCAGGCTGAACTAACAGTGAGAACCTGTCTCAAAAGACCAAAAAGGAATCATCTCAGAAAAACATGAAGTGGAACTTGAGGAATAGGGGGAAGAAAAGCTGTCAACTGTTATGGAAATCAGTCTAAGGAGAAGTGGCACATAAAAACCCCTTCAGTTTAACATAAACAAAGGTTAGCACATTTTACAAAGTTCACAAAGAATGGAAAATTGTTCCTAGGTCTATAGCAATTTAAATATATCCTGAATGATCTTTCTCCATGTTAAGTTCAAAAACTGGGCATTACGATCATGTATAATGCAAAGAAACAATGTAGTAAAAATGATAAGTATCTGGAGAAATAAGCTCCCCTGAAGATTGCACTGGTAAACCAGGATACCCCTGAAATGCACAAGGCAGCAGGAGCAGCCACTGGTCATTCCTGGCTGAAACTGTAAATAAGACACTTAAGTCAAGGTGACCTGCCTGGCCCTGTGCACAGTACAGGGCTCACAGCCCAGAGCCCGGGCTCACTAAATAAACTCAGAACAGAGGCTGCCTAGAAGAACCCTAGAGGCAGGAGGAAGAATAGAACCTTGAGTGGAGTCCTGCTCAAGAGGCCACTGAAAAAGGCAGGGATGACAAATGCTCTGCACCTGTCGGGCAGGAACGGACGGAGAGAAGCCCTCTACATGCAGGGTTAAAGAGAAAGAGAAGAGCAGCAGACAGCTAAGAGAGCAAATAAGGAAGGAGACTAAATGTCAGAAACCACGGAGCAGCTTCACCAGCTGACTATGAGCTATCAGAGCAGGACCGATGAGAACACTAGCTGTGGGCCATCAGTGGCTGATAAACCAAACTATTAACAAGATATGGGGAGCCCAGTGTGACATATGGAGGGTCTGAAAGACTTCTTTCCATTGAAAAGAGGAAAGCAACCCTAAAAGGTCACTCTGAGAGCTCAGGATTCACTGCAAAGTGAGTGTCGCCTGGCCCCTCTGGCTGCTTGTGCGTGCTCTCTTCGGGGCCACCAAGGGTGCCATTTCTTTGAAGTGTGGATGAGGAATAGTGATGCTGCTTATCAGATGCTTCCAGGCAGCAATGGAGAGCAGAGTGAAGGCGGGATTATTGGGTGGGCTTCTGTTCCCTCAGATACCAGGGAAGCAACAAACATCAGCTTCTCTGGCTCATCTCTGCAGTACTTTTCTGGAGCCCGGCAGGCAGTGACGCCAAGCTCTCAGCTTTCCTTCTAGTGGCACCTGTCACCAGTCACCTGGGGTCAGATTTGTGGGAAGGGCAGGGGTTACTGTTACATGCAGGGCTGCCACTGACCCAGACGGAGGGATTCAGGGTAGCACCCTGGGTCTTGTGTCTCTCTAGACAAGGCTAAGGAATAATGAAATAAATGAGCTAATGAGATCACACTGATTTCTACCCCAAAGCCCAAATCCTTCACAGCTCCTGAGAGAAGCCCAGCTGAGTCCATATGTCACCATGGCAGAGATGCTGAGGACGCCAACAGTCCTAGTCCTGACTTTATTCCAATGAGCAGCAAATAAAGCACAGGATCTTCGGCTCCTGTGACCTTCCCTGCCAGATAAAGCCTGGGCCAAAATCTCCCTTGGCCTTTCCATTCTGAGGGGTACAGAAGGTTGGCAGAGGGTGTCGAGCCGCTCAGCCAGGCTTGCTCTGTTCTGCAGGCTGACATCGTCGTCTGCAGTCTCTGAGGGTCCTAAAAGGTGCCTTAGTGGCTACCCTTTTAAGATACCCAACCGCCGATCCAAAGGTTGTTTCACAAGGCTGTGAATGATTTGGGCTTAGGCTGCACACTGTGCTCTGCAGATACTCAGGGGAGCACACGCATCCACGGCAGGTACGGAAGATGTCTAGGAGGCCACCGGCTGGGGGCCGCTGCCACTCTGGTCTGCTCTTCTGCTGTCCTCCCTTATGGACCCCAAAGGTCTCTCTACCTGACATCCAGCATCTCTGCCCCTGGCCTTTTCCTCCTCCAGGCGGGATGGCCTGTGACTTTCTCCTCCCGGAAGCTACAGAGATCAGCCCCCCTGACCTGGCCTGGCCTGTTCGGGACCGTCTTGACTGGGAGAGATCACTGATCTTTTCCAAAATCAGGAAACTCTCTCCCATGCAAAGGAATTTCTCTATAGCAATTAGATACTCACATGAGGCAAGTGAAAGAGCCTTGAAATGAGGCCTGAACCCTGTACATCACTTACGGTACTTTTATCAGACCACAGGCAAGAAGGAATAGAAAGGGATAGGACTGGACTTGACAACTTTATTATTTCGAATCCACATTCAAATTCCTCAACTCTGATACTCCCCCAGGGTTCCCCAAGTCCCACCTTGTGGGCTGGCATTCTCATCAGCTGTTCACACACTAAACTGGATACACTGGGCTCCTCCTCCCCTACTCCCCACTCCTTAAAGTTGCTAGTAATACCCTGGAACAGGGGTGAGCTTTGTGTGCAATGGTAACTCTTAGAGGCCAAAGATAGCAGAACACCCAATCACTTGTGGTTTCAAATTATATTCCAGGAAACAAATCTAACCTTTTGCCTCACCAGTCTTCTGAACTTGAGTTTATATAAACCAGGCCCAGTTTTATACAGCCTTCCTCTTAGAGGACCATTTGCCTTAAACTACACATCATTATGTAATAAATTCACCTGCAAGGATTGTTAACAGTCATTTAGATTATTTATGTTTGTTTGTTTAATACCGGATCTCACTGCATTGTGCAGCCTGCTCTTGAACTCCTCCCATTTCATCCTCTGGAGTAGGCAGGACTGTAGGCATGTGCTGCCATCCCGGCCACTGAAATTGTAATGTTTCGTTTTCAACTTTATGTAAGATTTGAGTTCAAGAAAAAAAAGCTTCTGGTTTCACACTTGCTTTCTGAAGACAAGCAACTGTCTTTCCTCAATGTCCCT